ATCCGGCATGCACATGGCCCCGCAATCCACCATCCCCTCCCCGCTGGCGGGCCCCTGGCGCAGCGCAGACGTCACCTCCGCAGCACGCCTGCGGGCGGACGGGCAGGGGGGGCAGCGCGGGAGGCGGCGGGCTGGTAGGAGGTGCAGGCTGGCGCCTGGGTGGGCCCGGGAGGGCTGCGCTGGGGCGGCCCAGCTGGCCTACCCGCCACACCACGCCACACCCCGGCACGGCACACCACACCACACCACACGACGCCACACCACACCGCACCACACTGCACCACACCACACCCCCGGGCACACCCCCCACCTCACAAACTCGTCGTGAATCTGCTCGTGCACAATGAAGCGCTCCCCTCCCGCGCAGTTCTGGCCGCAGCTCTGGAAGGCGCCGCGCAGCGCGGTGGGCAGCACCTGCAGCCGCGGCGGTCGGGGGTGGGGGGGAGGTGGGCAGGCTGGCTGGCTGGCAGGAGGGGGCGGGCCGCGGCCGGGCACGGCCGCTGGCGGCGGGTGCGGCGGCACGGCCGGCCGGCGACGCACGGCGTGCCATAGCTGGCGCCGCGGATGCTGCGAGGCGCACCCACCCCGCCCTGCCAGCAGGCGTCGCCTGCCGCGCTGCCGACATCCCCGCCACACCCCACCACCACACCATCCATCAGCACACACACCCACGCCTCCGCAGCCAGCACACACAGCATTTGTCAGCACACACCCAGGCCGCCCACCTGCCCCAGGTCAGCGTCCTCGCACACGATGAAGGCATCCTTGCCGCCCAGCTCCAGCACCACAGGCGTCAGGTTGGCGGCGGCAGCCTCCATGACCTGCGGCGGCGGGGCGTGCGGGCAGCGCGAGCCTCTGCTGTGGCGGCGACGTGCGTACTGTGTGTGCTGGTATGTGTGCTGTGTGGGTTTGAAGGGCAGCAGCGAGGGGGGCGATGGACTGGCGCCGGCGGAGGGTGGCCAGCGGCAGCAGCGGGGCGGGGAGCCGGCCCCCTACCTTGCGCCCGATCTGCGTGCTGCCCACAAAGATGAGCTTGCCGACGTCTGGGGAGGTGACCAGCGCGTTGCCCGCCTCGCCATACCCCGTCACAATCTGCGGGCACCGGGGTGGGGGGGGGCAGCGGGACAGGCGGCGCTCGGGAGGGCAGGCAGGCCATGCAGGGCAAGGCGGGCGCGGGCCACTGGCAGCCAGCCAGCCAGCAAGCATGCCGGACAAGGCCTGCCCGCCGCCACCCCGGGGCTGCCCCCCGAGCAGGCAGCCAGCCCCGCCAGCGCTGCACCGCCGCCAGCCCACCTGCACCAGGTCTGGCGGGGCGCCCGCAGCCACCAGCGCCGCGTCTATTATGCGCTTGTAATAAACAGAAGACCAGCAGGCGTGCTCAGACACCTGGAAAAAAGAAGGAAGGAAGGCAGAAACGTGGCGCGCGTGTGGGGGGGCGGGTCGGCGGCGCGGGGCATGCATTGTGGGGGTGTGCAGGCGCTTCCGCTGTGTGTGCGGCGCGGATGTGCCCACCCACCCACCCACCCACGCGAGGGGGCACCCACCTTGACGACGATGGCGTTGCCGGCAAACAGGGCCGCTGTGAGGGGGTTGAAGATGTTGTGGAAGGGGTAGTTCCAAGGAACGATGGCCCCCACCACCCCCACCGGCACATACTCCACACGCGCCGCCTTGTAAAACATCTGCGGGTGGTGGAGGGGGGGGATGGGCAGGGGATGGGCAGGGGGCGGCGTGGGAGGCGTGTGTGTGGGGGCTGTGGAGCATCGCGGGAGGCGCGTGTGCGGCCCTGGAGGCTCACCCGCGGCCGCCTCCCGGGCTGCCCGGCCCGAGGAGGCTCG